CTTTCCCTTTGAAACATTTATAAATAAAGCTTAAGGTTCTGTATTGATTAACCTTTACGATCGGAAAAATTGAAATGGTAACAAGAATTATTCCCATTTGATGGGTTATATATGGATTATATCCACTACTAGTCGTCATCATGCCAGGATAGTGCCTGCATTAAGCGAAAATCTATTTGGTTCAAATTGGTGCAAAAATCAAAGGCAAAAAATATTTCTCATCTGCCAAGTGATAAAATTTTATTTGTCGCCTTGACATGGTATGATAGTGATGATGATGACGTGTATCAGAAATTCGTCGCTACTTATTTGCTCTCAATCAAGTAAGCCGTCACTAAATGCATTTCGTTTCGAATAATTCGTTCTTCGATCTACTTGTCAGTAGATTTATGTGAAAGCTATTAATATTAGTATTGAATAGAAAGTTTGAAGTAATTTTTTTTTTTTTTTTTTTTTTTTTGAGATATCCCATAAATACCATGTGCTGCATAGTACCACAAATATTATGAGCCTAATAGTAAATACAAAAAAAAAAAAAGAAAGCCTTCGCTAATCCCAGATATGAATTTTATATGAATACAAATTGTTGAATGAGAAAGCTCCTAAAGGATTTAACTTGTTTAAGCTTTTTGTGAATGATCCGACTCAAGTAGTAGAGAATGTGACATAAGTACTTATTTTGTCTATGCCAATGTCAAGAATAGACATAAATTGATAATTGCATTCCCAGTACAATTTGGGTAAGGACTAGTTTCTCCTAGATATTTTTTTTCCATTGAACGAAAAGGTCTATAGAAGGACAATCTATCCTCTTTAAACTTTTTGCGTGGACAGCAAAACGAACAGCTGCCCCTTCCTTCACACTCTGCTGGGCAAGTCGAAAAAGGTATAAATTGTATGTGTCAAAGCGTTACCAAAAACTTGGATGATTTAAACTGGGAGGTGCTTTGTTTCTCTTTTGGTGTTTGGTATGATGATTGGGTTTTCTGCGTTTGAAAATTTTTTGAAACTCTTGCTAAATTAATTATTGCTTTGGAACGTTACTCTGCCTTTGGGAAGAACTTTTCCACTATCATGCAGCCAAACGGGTTTGATTATTTCCGGGATAGAGCGAGCTTTCTTCAACATATATTAAGCCCGTATGATAGAGCAAAGATGAAAAAAACAATGACAGGAATGCCGATGTAGATAGGTAATAAGGTGGTGTAAGATTTTAATTTAAGTGTCAGAGAGTGCCAACTAACATAAATAAGAGAGACGAAAATTTGCTACAAAGACAACTTTGTATGAAAAATCCCACGCACTGTTATTTATCACTTCGTATGTTTCCTTCGGTCGTGTCCATCATTTCGAATGTAGAATGAAAGTAAGTTTATATTGCTTGCTCTCGTTGCCCGTAATGCACTAAATCCTTAGCCTGTTGCTCTTGTCGTTCCGCCTCTCCAGCTTTCTTCTTCCAACGTAGTCATTAATCCATCTTACACATACGCGTAAGTGTGCGTATTGGGTATAAATAATCGAAAGTAGGATTTTAGTTCTTGTTTTGACACGCGGACATCGCGCTATGGTTCATCTTTCTTCTGGCGAAAACATCTTATTTGTACGATCCAAAACCCATTTTGGGCTGCCCTATTAATTTGTCGATATCAAGGGCAATGTATTGGTTTTCACTTTTTCCCACCATCGCACAGGTACACCAGAGCGCACTGAAACACGATGTTATAATAAGAAGTTCGTCCTAGCTTAGCGGGTTTGGCCCCGCGATGACTATAAATGCATACGTATATAAGCATGGGTTCATTTAAGACGGATTCGTATAACATGACGGGGAAATTGTAATCGTGCTCGTACAAAGCGGCAAAAAAGGCTTGTATAATACGGCAGAAGAATGAGATAGATGTTCCGATTTTATTACGCCCGTTTGCCAAAATGATCAAGTTCATAAGAATAGAGGAGGAAAATTTGTATTAAAAAATGTATTACATTTATTACGGCTATAAAAACTGCTGCTATGTAACGTCTTCACACCGGTAATTAACGAATGCCATTTCTTATACCCTATACACGTGTTGCGATACAAGCTTATAGTAAGTTTTTGCGGTTGTAAGCAATTGACTTGAGATAAACTTAGCTTTTGATTATATCAAGACAAGCTCAAATCAATTCAGAAAGAAGTTCTCTCCGTCTGCCCATCTTGTTTGCTTGCGCTCAAACTACATATTGCAACACTCTAAGACACTTGGATCTTATTTGGTGCATTTGCCTCAAGCAAAAACGCTATTGTAAATATTTGAGATTAGAACACTTCCACGACTTCTTTCCATATAAAAGCTTAGTTTGAAGAGTCTTTATATGAATCAAATGTCTTTATATGAATTATATTAAGCGAAACTATCTTCCTACTCGTTAAGCATAAATTTTAATTGGCGTGAAGTTACCCAACGGTCACAGTCACTAAAACTTTTGTCATTGCTAAATGATGGGCTATCATTACTTCGGTAACTTTTAAATATAAATAAACGACGCGAAATAAACTGAATGCAATCCTAATCAATCAACTGCCTGCATCTAATGTTCAGTTTCGATACATTTAAGTATGATTTACATATAACTCATACGCTACATTGCTCAATTAGTTTACTTAGGCAGCGTTAAAAAGCATGCAATAAAACAGATAAACATAATATATAGTAACAATAATAATTTGTTTTTGTAATTTAAGACGATAGGTTAAGCTTTTCATATATTATTCAATTTAAACAATCTCTACAAAAAAAAGTTTTAAGATCGAGTTTTATTGGCGGCTAATGTAACAATCGTAGAAAAACATGAAAGAGAGACATATTTACATATTTTTAAGAGAAACAAATTCCGCGAAACGACAATGAGAGTAAAACGGAAAAATATATTGGTTTGGAAAATACTGGGTACGGTTTTCCCTTCTTTCTTCTTGGCTGTTCTGAAATGGCACAATAATATGCTTTATGTTAGTTAGTAAATTGTTAGTATTAATAGTATTAATCAGTTTGCGTCAGGAGCTCGCAGCGATATGTTGTGGATGCAATGCTTTGAGAAAAGAAAAAAGCAAAGCGACGGCACGTTCAATGTTTAACAACGCGTTCGTTTAAAAATAACAAAAAAAGAAAACACAAAATAAATAAATAAAATAAATTAAAAAATAAAATAAAAAAAAAAATTAAAAACAATATTACGATCAACAATATTCAACCTTACTATTGCAGAAGAGGATTATAGTTATCTTTTAGTATAAGAGAAAAAAAATAAAAACAAAAAAGCAATTTTATTTTATTTAAAAAAAAAAAATATGTAACGTTCATCCGAGAAAACTAAAACTAAATAAAATTGTTTTTAATGTATTATTTTATAAGAAAGCGTTATTGTGTAGAAGGATTTTTAAAATGCAATGAAAACCTTATGAAATCTTTTAAAAATTTATAATTTGTCACCGCAATCAAGGACACAAACAAAAGCTGAAGATAAAATATTAGCCCATAAAGCAATTATAGACGCATACTATAAAAACGCACTTAATTGCTAAGAAGACCTCGCACATTTACAAAACTGCATACAAAAGTGTATGCATGCTACAGTGAGTGTGTATGTCCCGTGTTTACAGTACTTTTCACTTAAATGGTTTATTATTATAACTTATAAGAAACGCTTTTTTTTTTTGCATTTCTACAAATGAAAAATTTAAGGACGATGTGGGATGGAGAGAAGGGGTGGGGGAATACGTTCTATAACTATGACGCCGAAAATACACCGTCCAATATAGATTGAGTATTGACCATATTGACAATTTTTATGCTAACAGTGACAGTAAATGCATATGTCGTTCATGCAGCGTATATAGTAAGTCCTTGCTTCTATTACCGAAATGATCATTTTTTTGGGAATAGTGAAAGCGATAGAAGGAACACATGTTCAAAATCTTGCGTTGCAATCGTTGTAAAGCTTGTGAAAGCTTTTATAGAAAAAGTACTGCATTTAGACAAAGATTTCATTACGTTATGTCCATAGTGTTACGGGACGCTGAACTAAAGAAATCTTTTAAATTTTTTTTTTTTTTTTTTTAGAAAATAATTTGTTTTGCTTTCATAATCGATGCTGAAGCTAGCTGATGCTGTTTCGTATAACTTGGCTAGCTACGATAAGTTGCGACGCTTCGACGACGTTGTCTTAAAAATATTTAATTTAATTTTATACTTTTTGTTTTTACATTTTTTGTTTTTTTTATTTTTCTTTTCTTTTCATTTTTTTTTTTTTTTTGTTTTGTTTGCTGATTCTTATTTTCAAAACATTCAGTTTTTAATTTATCAGCAACAGTTTTTCTATAATTTCTTGTGTTTTAATTTAGTGAAAAATAAATAAGATTTGTGATAAAAAGAAATGAGTAAAAATTTATCACGCCTGTATATGACCTACAAACACATAAACGTTGAGCATCCATTTATACGCTGATCTATATTTGTATGCTTTTATGTTAGATATATATTTATATATATAAATATATATATATATATATATATATATGAATATATGAATATATGAACACATATGCACGCACACAGAGTACAACGTCTCATATATGTACGTCGTGCATATTTGTGTATTTACACATATAACGGTGTAGCATCAGCCTTAGTGGCATCTAAGAATTTAGTTCAAGTGCCAAGCAAATAATAGAAAAAAAGTGTTACGTTGAAAAGCAAGTACAACAACCAAGAAAATTTTTATAGAAAAGAAATACACAAGAAAAAAAAAAAAAATAACAAAATCGAAAAGAAGAAAAAGCAAAGCAAACACAACAAACTTAAAAAAAGAATGCTAGAAAAATAAATAAAGGAAAAAGAAAGCGAAGAAAGGAAATGCTTATATATATATATATATATATATATATATATAAATAAACATATATGTGTATATAAATAAATATATATATATATATATATATATTATAAATATATATTTTTGTGAAGATTTATATGCCTATATAACATAAATCTCATATGTAGATATGTTTAATACGTGTGTATGAAAGAATACATGAAAGAATACCAAATAAAAAAAAAATAATAAAAAAAAAGAATAAAAAAAAAGATTATTTTCTTCCACGCATAATAGTGCAAGTTATGTACTCACCAAAATATCTGTAATGTGCATACAAGCAAACTAAATAACTACACCTGCTAACATTGTGTGTAAGACATAAACATGTCACCAATTTCTCAACAACAATAATATAAAAAGAAGGTATTAAAGAAAAGTGAAAAAAAAAAAAAAATAAAATAAGTAAAAAAGGAATAGTGAAGAGAAAAAGTCGAAGCCTTCGCAATACCCATCATACCGGCTATCAATTATTTAAAATAAATTGCCTTTCAATTTGTTCTCGCTTACTGAACGGATGCAGTGTTTGCAATAAAAAGTGTTTTGCAACAACTATGTGATATGTTTGATGTGATAGATGGAATTGAATTGAATTGAAATGCATCACTTGCAACAACTGAATTAGAAGACGAAGAAAGACAAGAAGTACTACTTACATCGCCTATATGGGATAAGGTATAGTCTGAGAATGTATTGACTTTATTTCAAAAAAAAATTTATATAAATTGAGTGGCATTGTAAGCTTCAATTTCATTAGATTATCTGTATAACGGCCGATTAAGATATATAAAAATATGTTACGTATACAAATACGTATCAAAAGCCTCGAAATCGAAGCGACCTGTTTCCTTCTTTTGCATGGAATCTCTTTAATAGTTTATCCCTCACACCATATAAATTCATATATATATATGGTCATATATATATATATATATATATATATATGTTTTAACTTTTAATATTTACATTTCAGTTTTTCCGTCTACACGTAACGCACAATAATATATTTTTAGATTATATGCTTTATACTATTATATTATGCTTTATACAAATACACATATAGACATTACATCTATATTATATATACATTATATATATGTACTATCAGTTAAATTGTATTGCTTTCTACTTTTTGGATTATTTCCTTCGCTTTCGTACTTTAAACTCTGTTACATCCGATCTTAGAGCTAGTCCTTCAACTAAATATTCTTCGATTTATTATTGTCTACGATATATGTTACAACTGCTATCGAAATTTGCCATAGCAAATATCTGAAATATTTATAGCGTATTTGGATGCGTAGTAGAGGACTTTCTCAAAATAGGACAATCTAGTCTTAGCAGTTTAAGTAAACTTAAGACATTGGTACTCTCTGTTTTTTTTTTTTTTTTTTTTTTGATATACCTATTTAAACTAATCCACAAAGCACATTGTCGCTTATAACAAAGCAAGTCGGATTCTGCAGGTTAGTTGATGATGGATGTATGTTTCCAAATCCATCCGGCAGCATTTAAGGGTTAATGCCATTCTAACATAGTATTTTGTTTAGAAAGTACTTTGTATGGCAAATGAAGTAAATATCAAATGGATTTAGGTCGAAGCTATTTTATATTATATCTATCAGTAAACGATATATATTTATATATATATTATATATATACGTATATTTATTTATTAAAAGTTTTGCAAGGCCCAGAAGGAAACTTCGTATGCCCCACAAAGTATATAAAGTTGTGATTCCGTCTGTCCATCTGTTCGTCTATCCGTTTGCCCCTCTATCCGTACATGCTCTCTCGCTTTACTCATAAAATACTACACACACACACGCACACACCACATAAACTTGCGCGTTTTTCTGCAAAATAGGAAAAATCAGCCGCGCCCCCTACCAATATTATAAAGTATAAAAATTTATTTGTTTTTATTTTAGACTTTTTTAACATAACGGAGAGGTATATAAAAGATTCGGTCGTGATTAAATATAATATTTTTACTTGCTTAAATTGTGGTAAATGGTTAGCTGATATTTTTTATTATTCGGGACAAAAGTGAAGAAGTCATTCTGAACGAAAAAGATAAGAAAAGTATCTGCAATTTTGTTAAAACGACCAGAATTGCTATCTAGTCTACCTTTAAAAAAAAGAAATGCTCATCCTACTATTCAGTTGTACAACTCGCTTCCTTAGTCTAAATAAATTGCAATAAAAATAATAATAATAACATCAGAATATGTCTAGGAAAACCTGTATTTGAGTTCAATATTCGATATCAGTTTAATTGAAAGGGGACAACATTTTATGTAAATCGTTTCTTGTTTGATTCAAATTGTTTCACAACATAACACATCACTCGATAAGCTTGTAGGATGATATACATATGTAAGATAAACTATTGACTAATAATGAATTCACATGATTTTTACATAACACCATTTTTTATATGATATATGACAGCGGTAACTAGTTTACAAGTTATCGAGACGAAAAGATAGGCAAAAAATTTGAATTTCGTTAATAGTGGCGATATCTGTATGTCATCGCTCGAACTTGTTGAGTGATTTGCTAATTTTTTGTAAATTTTATTATATATCAATCAATGATGTGTACTCTTCGTTATTTTTTATAACAAATCCCAAGGGCGTTTTTAAAATCCTTTGTAGACAATAATATGACGTCGCTTGAAAGAAACTCATAAAGAGTAGTAACTGATTTTTTCTACAAAACCAAACCAGCGATTGAAACAGATGAAAATCTATGATATAGAGCGGGTACCGAACTATTTTCTATGTTTTACATGTGGACAACCGCATAGTCGAGTAAATAAGAGTCGCGACGTCCAAGTTTGTGTTAAAATTTCAATGCGATTTGACTGTGACGATTCTGTTAAGCGAAGATTCTGCTGCGGAACATTTCTTTAAGCGGCGAAGTGTTAACCGGCTGTGGAAGAACGAATCAGTTCACCTTTCATCGTCGACATATCTATGCAAACATAAATACGAGTTTTGAGGCGTATGTAAATGTAAGGCCGCTATTGACAGCCTTAAAAAAAGCGATTTATTGATGATTTAGCTTTGGATCGAAGGAATCATAATAGAAATAGAAATCATAATCTACTTGCCTATAGCTACTTATTCAGCGTCTACATCTTGCAGAATTTCTAATAAATGTTTATCTTTTTGGCGATTGGCGAGCTTTTGAGTGAAAAATTTAATAAAGAAGAATTAAAAAAATATTATCACGGGCCGGGAGCCCGTCATTAAATGTCGTATACCCCCTTAGATAATTCACGGCAAGTGGTCTGAAAGATAGTGTAGTTTTTAGGTCAAAACATGTTAATGTCATCACTGTCATCAAAATGTCTTCAAAAATTTACGCTCTGAAAGTTAAACCCTATTAAATAAGACGGACAGACAGACAGTCAAGCTTAAATACATGCAGAAGCTCATTGTGTATCACTTTTTGAATCACCTCACAAATCGATCGGTATAAAAACAGATGAGTCTAACTCAACTCCTTTCGTGTGTTGCATCCATCCGTCCCTTGTACCATAAGCAGGGGTAGAGTACAAAAATTCGAATATTTTCGACACCATTATACACGTGCTAAGTCTGTATTTTTTTTGGCTATAAGCGAATTATGAGCATTGAGATTCTTTTACTTAATAGTGTTTGTATGCAGATCTTATTTTCCTTTTCAAATGTGTAATAACTTTATGTATCTGCCAGCAGTGAGTGGACTTGGAAATATGTTAATATTGTTCCGGAAATCCTAAATCCAGCTCATTCCGGATAATTAATTTTCCCAAATAATAAATTGCCTAGAGAGGGAAAAACCAAGTACAGGCGCGTCATGCTGCTGCCGGCCGAGGAAAACGATTACCGGAAAAGCAGGTTAACGGATTAAAAATGAAGCCATGAAATTAGGTCATAGTAATATGCTCGTAAAAATGTATATAAATAGACTATTTTCGGAAGGCCGAATTAGTCGGACAAGAACGTTTGAGTCGAGATTACTGCCAAAATAATTTGTGAATAATCCTACGGTTAAGGAATATAATTGTAAATAAAAAAATTTGAAAGTGTATTTCTCTTGAAAAGAATATCCGCGGTCTAGTGGTACGAGTCCTATACCTTAGAAAAGTGAAATTCGTAACAATATTATAACAAGTTAGTATATTTTCTTTCTTTACTGAATATTTCTATCTCTTCTCTAAACATGAAGGCACTTAAATTCTATAGTGATCTTAGAAGAGAGAGAGAGAGAGAGAGAAGAATATTAAGAAGATCTTGCTTGTATTTTGCTTAAAAGCACTATTTTAACGAGTTTGCTAGGATATTAAATTGTGTTCCAATATTAGCTGAAAGACACAACAATTAACTTAATTAAGTCAACTGTGCTATGATTGTTTAAATAGATTAACTGCTTAACTATCCCACTTGCTTAATTAACACATTTTTTCCAAAATTTTTTTCCACTTGAAATAGTGGAGAAAAATTTTTATTAATCTATTCTCGCTAAGTATATTTGTTAGACGCTAAAGAAACTGATTTCTCTTCATGAGCTACTTATTAATGCTATGAAACATATGTTTCGGTAGTAGAAGAAGAAAAAAATAAAAAATCTAATTAATGTTTTTTTTTTTTTTTTTATTTGCATTCGCAAGTTTTCCCCATGAATGTGTTTAAAAAAAAAAAAAAAGAAAAAAATAATGTCATGAATTTTTCGGCATAATTTCTATATTTAAATTTTCCCAAACCGATGACGATGGCCTTCATACACTCAAGAATGCTGCAGATAATTCTACGAACTGAAAATGTGGTGGAAAGGTTTATATTTTAATGCAATTATGTCCAAAATATATACATATATATATATATATATATATATATTTATATATATAATGTAGTAAACTTTTTTTTAAAGATTTTTCGGAAACAATAGCTTAAAAAAAAATAAAGAAAGAAATTTTAAATATTAAAGACATACATACGAAAATGGCTCATCTCCCATGATTTCCGACGTTTAACCTAATAGGGACGATTCATATGCATTTTTTGAAACTAGAATTTTCTCTAAAAGACACAAAAACACACAGATTTCTGTGCTTAGATGTTCACAAACAAAAATCAAAAACATGTTTATATGTATATATATACTCTATGAAATTTCAAATGCTTATAACGAAATGTTACAAACGGATTAAAAAAGTTAGTTTGCTATCATCCTCTAATGTTAGATATAAAAAAAAAGTTTCGCATAAAATTTGCATATTTTTGTAGTCATGCATACATTTATACAAGTTTTTTTCTTTTTTTTTTGTTGTTTTTCGTTTTGCTTTTGGGTGAATATTTAAGCTAAATGGCAGAGGAGCCATGATGGTTAAATAAAAAAATGTACCTGATTGTTTAAGCGTTTAGTCAATTATGCTGAGTGACTATCGTGAACCTTTCACTCAACAACTCTTCTGCACAAAAAGAAAAAAAGAACACAAAGATGCAAAGGAAACTCGCAATACTTGACAAAGTGTTACGTAGATCTATACGTGTTGGGTGGCAATGTACAATTTTTTTCGTAAGACTACGCCGGTTAGTAAGTACACAAGTATTTTGTATCTTATTTTTTTGCCATAAAATATTAAATTGTCTTTTTAAATAAAGGCTTACTTTTCATGGGAA